TTGCTTCTCCGAATCAGAGTGTGTGACGCCGTTCGACTGGCCGAATCTGTTGCGTGGTATAAACGGTGCCACTTGTTGATCTGTGCTTTCTACGTTTGTAAGCTGCGCTGGTTCCCTGGGCTTGAATAAGCGATTGATAAATCGTATATAAATCCTAATAAAGTTATATCAAAGGCAGCAATGAGCAATGATTTAGCAACAAACAGATCGGAAATTCGAAGTGGTGGGGCTGGTATGCCCACCACTTTGTATGCCCACCGGCACCACTGATGGTTTACCTACGTGAAAAAAAACAATACAACTTTCTATTGCAAGGCGCAATGTAAAGAAGTCACTATCTGTGTCTTACAATTAGGAGATGTGAATCGGCTTGATGAAGGTGACTTTCAATTTATACTGGGTGTGCTCGGGGGTGATTGAACGTAAAAAATTGATGTCAACCAAAAGGTCTCTACAAGGCGATTCTAAAGCAATTATAATTTTAGACTTCAGGTCGAACTTAAAGGTCAGAGGGCAAGTCCAAATGTAAAAACCAGCACATTTGTGTGTACTGATCTCAAGCTATGCGTTTTAGAAGAAAGCAGGATGCATACAATCGCGCAAAACTGGTTGGGCACGAAATAAGACACCCATTTGCAGAACTCCGACGGTGTCCTCAAAGTTCAATGTCAGGGTCAAGGTCACGCTAAATATTGACCTCAAACTTTTTTCACTTTTTTCAAAATTATCAGGGCCCAACCTAAAAATATTTCCAAACTTATCAGGCCTCCACTTTTAGATTCTGTAACGATGCAGGGCTGCCCCAAGGTTAAGGTCATGCAAAAGTAACCTTAGTAGAGGCTTTCTCACGGATCCAAGCGGGCTATTATAACTCAGTCAAGTTTTTGCTATCCTGAGGCTCTAAATGAGTGTTTAGAGTGAAGTGAATGCAGTCAAGCTCACATTTTCTTGTATTTCACATATTTCGCATATGCGCGTCACGAAAAAATTCGACAGTTTGACCTACAGAGGGCGAAAGCGGTCGAAGTTGACTGTAGTTGCGGAAAAGTTGCAATAACTGAAGATTCAATCAATATAGGTATGGAATTCCGTTACCCCATCGTGTTGTTCTGGGTAAAAGTTAAATGAACCAAAATTTGAACTAAAAGTTTTACTAGAAATTTAAAAAGCATAAGTTTTGTGGAAAATAAAGTCTGAGGTGGTATACAATTACATACACTATGAATACAAACACAAATGGTTTCTTTGCACCCTTGCCAAGCACCAAGCCTATCTGGTTCCCCACACGATCGCTTTATGTCGTGCGGTGCAACGATGCAAAGGTATATGCGAAACTCCCCAATATTGATTAATATATGGTGACAGGTATCAAATCAGGATGCAAAGAAAGCGATGCAGAGCAGGATGTGTGTGTGTGTGTGTGGGTGTGTGTGTGGGTGTTTTTTGACCTTACATTTTATTACGAATGTGATTAAATGGTGATATACAACACACAGAATAGAGACGGCTGGCGTCAGTACCCTGGCGATTGACGTGCCACCCCTGCAAAACCGAGCACTCCTGACACTGAACAGCAGGCGATTCCGCCACCTCCTCGCTCTCAAGACAGCGGTATACCTATGTATATGTAATACATAGCCATATTCGTCATAAGTTGCCTTCTCCAACATGCATGGTTAAATCCTTGATTGCGTCGGTTTATGTTTCCTAAGCGGTGACTTTCTAATGAAAAGTTTGTAAAAGGAGGGCACTGTCATTTTCAAACAATTGAAACTGAATATGGGGATTTAATTACATTGCATCAGCTCTCTAACGATTTCGAAAAGAAGTACGATTAACTAGGTGAAATGCGTATCATGTTCAAACATTTTTTTTTACAGAATCGCGTTCACAACATGTGAGAATAGAAGAGAAAGGACACTTGCACAACGCAAACAACAAATTATTCCGTTGTTAGTGCATTTTAATGAGCGCCGTGCGCCGCCTTGCCCAAGACACCGGGCAATGGTCACTGTGAGCGCTCACACCTGGGTCCACGTGAGCAACGGAATACTCGGACACAGGGGTCCACGGAACACCTGGGTCCACGGAACACCCGGATCCACGTGAGCAACGGGATACGTTACGTGGAACACAGGGGTCCACGGAACACCTGGGTCCACGTGAGCAACAGGATACACGAAGCACAGGGGTCTACAGAACACCTGGATCCACGTGAACACATGGAACACAGGGACAAACGGACACGGACACACGGATACACGGACACGGACACACGAACACATGGAGCAAGCAGTGCATTAGCATTGAAGTGGTAGCAACATCATATACATCACATGCAGATATTGGCCGTTTTCACGACGGGCTATCCGGCGAGTGCTGACCTAATTTGACCAAATCTGCACTTAATCTCTTTTACAGCAAATATCTGTATTTTATGAATTTATTTCAGTGTTTTCATCGATGATACTCTCTGATAATATGACAAAGTAGGCATATAAGCAATTAGTGCAACCCTAGCTGATAGCTATTAGGTCGTTCAATAAGTAACGAACAATCGGTCATAACTTCTTTATTTCTTTATTTAACACTTTCAAACTTTCACATATTATAGATAAGACATTTCTGAATGCAGCCTATGCCTCAAACCAGCCGCCGCCCGCCTGCACACACTTCTCCCAGCGTTCCGGCCAACGCCGGAATTCCGCCCGGAAAAACGCGTTTTCCGTCTTTTTCACCCAGTTCTTGACAGCGCACCTGACTTCAGCGTCGGTTTCGAAGTGTTCACCACGGAGGCCATCCTTTAGGGGACCAAAGAGGTGAAAATCTGAAGGAGCCAGGTCCGGACTGTAGGGCGGCTGGGGCATGATATTCAGCCCTGTCACGCGATCTCCTCGCGCGTGGCGTGAGACAAGTGCGGTCGGGCGTTGTCATGGTGTATGGTCAATGGTGATGTTGTTGACATCCGAGCTGCGCCTCTTCTTCAGGATTGCTTTTCTCAGTCTCCTGCAGGACTGTGATGTAGCGGCCCGCTGTCCATAGTCCGCCCAGGTTCAAGAAAGACCACCAGGATGACACCATGACAACGCTCGTCCGCACATCTCACGCCACACGCGAGGAGATCGCGAGACAGGGCTGAATATCATGCCCCAGCCGCCCTACAGTCCGAACCTGGCTCCTTCAGATTTTCACCTCTGGTCCCCTGAAGGATGGCCTCCGTGGTGAACACTTCGAGACCGACGCTGAAGTCAGGTGCGCTGTCAAGAACTGGGTGAAAAAAGACGGAAAACGCGTTTTTTCCGGGCGGAATTCCGGCGTTGGCCGGAACGCTGGGAGAAGTGTGTGCAGGCGAGCGGCGACTGGTTTGAGGCAAAGGCTACATTCAGAAACATTTGATCTTTAATCTGTGAAAGTTTGAAAGTGTTAAATAAAGAAATAAAGAAGTTATGACCGATTGTTCGTTACTTATTGAACGACCTACCAAATATCAGGATAGTACCTAAGAGACACACTGAACCTGATTGACCAAATCTGCTCCTAATCTGCACCAAATGTGCACCAGATGTGTACCAGATGGCCGTCGTGAAAACGGCTAATAATGCTAATCTAATTCCATGTAAGCAAAAATTAGTTTTTCTTCTCCATTTGACTTCAGGTGATCTGATGTGAAATTTTTACAAAAATGTTAAAAACAGCATTAAGCGACGTTGATTTCCCGGAAGGGCTCTGACACGTTCATATAGGTAAATGTACCGTCGTCATTACATTTTGACATTTTCACGCAATCGACGATACCCAGAACTTCCTGCCAGTTTCGAGCTTCCAAATGTTTTATTTCGGTTGATATCTGTTGTTACAACATCTATTTCAACAGGCCATCCTTTCGAACTATCAGACATGCCGAGCGCGACATCAGCCCCAGTCTCTGCTTAAAGTCACTCTCAGCATTCTAACTTCTGCCCAAAATCCATCCAGTGGGCCGCAAAGTTACATCACCTCTTATTAGGTTAGCGCAGATAGAAGTTTGTGTGCAGAGCGAAACACGGACAGTTTGGAGAGCGCACTGCAGCAAGCATCGGTTTCGCCGCTTCTTGGTCGTTACAGGAAACCATTTGGAGACGATTTGAGGCCGATTCTTTCCAGGCTACACTTAGGATGTAATGTGAGAAATCGGATAGGTCTATACATCTCAAGAGATCGGATTGGGATGTATGTTAGCATCTCAATCTGGATCATGAACCCAGGAAGTGAAAACAGGATGCATTCTTTTGGAAATTGAAGCTGATGGCTGGCTACATAACGCTTCCGGCTACCAAGCAATGCTGGACACGACGAGATGTGATTGACTCTCCTTATTCCATGAATCAAGATTGCGCAGCTGTTCAATAAATAAACCAATGCAGGCCGTAGGGATGTACATATACCATTTCACACTTTCCGGCATCATGCGGAGATTTGCTGTTGTTTAGAAAGGTCAAATAAAATAATCCGTAGCTTATCATCAACGAGCATTAGCCCAGCTGCAGATAATCATTGCAAAACTCTCCTAACAGTATATAATAAGGTCTTAATGTGCATCCCTTAGTACGCTGTGGGTGGGTGCCGCCTCTTTGACTGACATCCGTTTATCCCCTGTACTTCCGCAGAAGTAAGCCGACAGCTGCATCCTTCTCCAGACTACTCAGAAAGCGGCAGAGGGTAGAGAACCGTGCCTCCAGTCTAGCAAGTCGGCTGCTGTCCCGTCAGGTCAGCAGGCCGTCCCGTCAGACGTCACCAGGCCGCTCCGTCAGCTCAGCAGCCGGCCGCTCAGCAGCTCAGCGCGTCAGGTCAGGTCACCCGGTCTCATCAGGCCGCTCAGCAGCTCAGCGCGCCAGGTCAGGTCATCCGGTCTCATCAGGCCGTTCCGTCAGCTCAGCAGCCGGCTGCTCAGCAGCTCAGCGCGCTAGGTCAGGTCGCTCAGTCAGGTCAGCGTGTCCCGCCAGCTCAGCAGGCGCCAGCTCAGCAGCTCCGGTCGTCAGACTGCAGTTGGCCACCATGCTGTCACCGAAGATGCAGCGCGGAGTGCGCATCAACGATAACCAGCTGCTGATGCTGGCAGAAAAGGCGCGCTACGACCAGTACATGTGCGGCAGCCTCTACAAGAGGACGTGCGACAACTCCAAGTGGCAGCTGCGCTGGTTCAACCTCTATCAGGTGAGGAGACGAACAGATGGGTCAGCTGGGAATGTGGGGCTTTATGACCCTTTCGCAGGAATTATTTTGAGTCGACCTCTGATGAACTGCTGGCAACTACTGGGCTAAAATACATGGCTGGCATGGAACATTAATTCATCCAAAACAAAGTCTTTGGCAGGCTTTCGAATATGTGTTATATCATGTGCAAACTAATGCCTATGCGTAAGTAGTATCTGCACATAATTAGTCCATGTGCAATGATGGGGAATCTTGATGAAGGGCTGCTTGATTGCTTCATTGCTGACAATTGACATGTTCCATTTATTGTCCAACAGACAACGAAAATATTGATACAGCTTCATGCGCTGGTTCTGAGCGGTAATAAGTGTCGGTACTGTCAGCAGCACCGCCACTCTAATGCAGGGCCGGAAATGTTCCATTTGGACAAAGAGTGCTTCCAATCGATACCCAATATCCATGGCCCGCCGTGCAGAGCCTACCGCACATCCGTGGGCTTTACGGCTCGGAAGGCGCACTTTACTTCATTTGTTAAGTGATGGTCGTTGTCCGCAGTCGCCTCCCTTCTGCTAAGTATTTGAGTGCTGTTGATGGGTGTGAATTACGTTTACGGCACGTAACACGCGAATGTCAAAAATGATTGTGATTGATATTTAAAATGTGTAGGGAATGCTTCCACTAATTTGCTCAACAATGGGATGACGTATTCGAAGTTGTCGAAGCTTTCGAATTCGGGCGGCACAACATTCACTTCAACTAATTTCACTTAGCTCAACAATGGGATGGCATAGCCGAATATGTCTTAGCTTTATTCGGGCGGCACAACATTCGAAATTTGACCTAACCTGACCGGCGAGACATGTAAACATTCTCGTGCTGAGGAGAATTTGTTTCATTTCATTGCTCAAAAGCATTACAGCTCTATCGTCAAACATCTATCGGACAGGACCGTCTCATCCGTCCTATACTTTCACGCTGATCACTCAGCCGTTCGGCGCTGCCCTGACCGTTCTATGCTCGCGTCCAGTCCCATCCTGAGAGGCCTCACAGATCCACCTCATCTGCTGGGCAGAGCCGCCGCTGAGCCCCCCCCCCCCCGGCCGCGGGGAGGGGGGGGGGGGGTCGGCGCGCACTGCTCAGTATCGCCCGGGGCGGCTGCGAACACGACTCGAGTGCAGCCCGCAGGAGGTCATTAGGTCTCGGCAGCCGGCGGGGAGGGGGGGGGGGGCTACCTCGCGGCTGTCGGATGGTCATGGCTCGGTCATTGCAAGGACAGGCGCCGCAGGTCACCGCACTGAAATGAGGGGGGGGGGAAGCTGGGGAAAGGGAACATTCTTATCACTATCGTGGACGATAATTTGTGTCGTTTTTAGGATTTCCAGCACCGAAAATTAAAGAATTATGTTAGCATGCTGCTATGACCTATGACGCTCAAATTTGTGAAATTGTTTATAATGAGGATGATGGCGGTGGTTTTAGAGCGCACCATCCTCGAAACCATTTTGATTTACGTCTTCTGCAAGCTCACATTTGTCTTCTGGAATTGCCTTTTGTTACCAGACACGTTGTGAAATCACGGTAGCTAATAGCTATTCAGACGAAACCTCGAATAACGCCTCTGCTGGCTGTGTCGCCCCGTTCCCTTCACGTCGCACCGATGATTTAGCCGTGGTGTCGCACGCGATATCGTGTCTCACCGGGGCAGGGCACCGCCAGGCGTCAGTACCAGACGTGACATCCAGCTGAGGTCACTGGGGTCAGACGGGTCCGGGGTGTCCCCTGAGCCCCCGAGCGGCCACCACTGACAGCCCGGGGACGCTGTCACTGCCTGCCGCCTCGAATTGACGTCCGGCGGCCGCGCGGCTCCCGACGTGCGCGGACATTCGACACTGCGGGGTGTCATTCAGCGTTAGGCTGTAAATTTCTCGGCAGTTTTCAGCGCGCTCATGACAGCTGGGGTGACGGGTAGTGTTGTTTTCACGAGCGGATTGATTTATGAGGCGCGATGTCACCATGGGATTGTTGCTTGGACCGTCGCTGCCCATTACTTACCCGAGTCACCGTGGGGTTTCTGGTGAGGTTCAAAGCAAATGCTGGAATAAGACTTCATTCGTCTTTTTCTGGTCAGTATGTTTCATTGTCTGACGACGCATGACCTCATCATTAGCCTTAGCCTTTAACCCGCGCCCTGCTGGGGGGGGGGGGGGGGTGTTTGAACACCCCCCTTGTGGTTTTTCGCGAATATCTCAAAAACGGCGGCGCTCCGCGCCGCCGTTTTTGGTACACCTTATCATACATCAATTCTACACATGTTGTGAAAATTTCAGACCAAGGTCATTCAAGGTCAGGTCACCAGGTCACTTGAAGTGACCTCACCTCATAAAAAGTTTCAATGTCTGTCATAGCTACACCGAGTGACCGATCGCTTTGAAACTTTCAGCGATTGCTAACAGCAATAGCATGTACAAAATGTTTATCTCAGAATTTTGATATCGATGACCTAAGGTCAGGTCAATTTTGCGACCTCCCCATTATAAGTCAATGGGAGAAAATTGAAATGCGCCTCTTTTGGACGAAAGACATTATAAACACTCCCAAACACTGAATTACAAGTGGTGTAGACACACTGAACATGAAAATGGTGTCCGTGACCCCTGTTTATGCCCTGAGGTCATCTTAGGTCACGAATGGTATCTAACAGTTTTTCGTAAATAACTTTTGATACAGGCATGCTAGAGCGATGAAAACGCCTTAGATGTGTTCAGCTCGACAATACGGATCGACTGATATGCAACATGACCCTTTCCGGTCAGGTCATGACCTTGACCTGAGGTCAAATTTTCAAGTTGACCTTTCAAGGTCAAGTTATAGTTCATTCGATGCGTCTTGACAAGAGGAACACGATGCCGGTAAAGGTAAGCTCGTACAAGGCTTGGTCAAAAGTTATTGCAGAAAAACTGTTTCCGAAAAAATCGGCTATTTTTGCAGTTTTTGCCCCTGCAGGCAAAACCGTTGACGTTAGGTCAAATCTGAGACAATTACTCAGAAAGGGCGTTAATAGGGCTATCGAATGCGCTTTGGTAGCTGTAGCTCTATTGGTTCCCGAGTTATGCGTTGACTTCTTGGAAATTGTCGACATTCGACCTGGAAATCGGCGAAATTTTGCCTTCAATGACCTCTGGTGACCTGACCTTTGACCTGACCAAAAAATTGACCGAAGTGATTTCCTCATTATTTTTGACGCTCTTTCGAACGCCAGCAGAAACACCCACCCCCCCCCAGCAGGGCGTGGAAATCCAGGACCCCCAGCCGGGCGCGGGTTAATAGCACTTTCAACACACATGTGGATAAATAATCACGTGGTCCTGGAATGCGCGTAGTGGTGGTGGTGGTGTGTGTTTGTATTTGTGTGTGTGCAGGGAGGAAGCCCAGTCAGTGGATATCAGTCAGCAGAGCGTCGGCATGCCAACTAGCTGGCATTCTCTTCTCCACGGCTGAGTCAAGGCCCTATAAACCGGCTGAGTAGGGAGAAGACATCGAACCTCCATTAGTGGTTGATACGAGAAGGGATACGGCGCTCCGTAACTAGCTGCGCTGAAGCCTGAACAGGACCAAAAAAGTTAAATCCCATAATGTGTTATGACCAAATACATTTGAGTTTCATAGTTTGACAATCTTTCGCAGCAAAGATGCCGTATGTGTTTATTTTCTTAACCCGCGCCCTGGTGGGGTCTGTTTATAACGCGACCTGGTGGGGGGGGGGGGCTATTTTTTGCCCCCCCCTCGTATCTCCGAAACTACTGGACGGATCCGAAAAATTCAAATGGCGTTCGAAAGGCCTGTCAAATTTGTCGAGGGAAACCAAATTTTATTGACCTCGGGGTCACCGATGACGTCACAGATCAGGTCAAAGATGAAATGTTTCACCGTTCACGGGTCTTCTAGGGAATGCGCTATAACACCGAGAAAAACGCATTTTGTCGGGAATCAGCGATAGGGCGTCAGTTGCCTAGTAGATATGTTGCTGTTAGAGGTCACTGGTCATACCAGGTCAGGTCACAGGTCAGGTCACCAAAGGTCACCAAGGGTCACCACATGAACCCAACTTTACTAAGGTTATGCGATGCATGTTTTATGGCCAGTTTTTCATTTCCGACTCAATGGTGTTGGTTATAAGACCATCAGGTACGGTTTAGGTCACTTTCTGGTGGAGGTCAGGTCAAGGTCAGGTCAAAAAAGGTCAAATTTCAAAGTTGATATTTTTGCATAAAATGGGTAATGATTCGATGCAGCTTGTCACGGGGAGTCTAATGGTGGTCTTTGTTTTGCGCTACGAGGTCTAGAATTGCTGAAAATTGAGTTTGAAAATTTGACGTCATCAATTTTGAACAGTTTTTTTCGCTATAACTTGGCCAAAAAAAGAGGTATCGATCTCAAATTTGGTATGTAGATAGAAGGCGGTAAGGACTATCACATATATTCCGTTTTTTTCGAAATTCAAAAAACTTTTTGGATTTTTTGGCTATTATATTAAAAAAATCTATTTTTTGATTTTTGGGGGTAAAAATCCAAAAATTTCAAAAATCCGAGATAGCAGTTTTGTAGCCCTGTTCATTTTACAGCTTTTATGGGTGTATCATTTTTCTGTATTTGCAACGCTATAGGCCTGACAGCTCTTCCCGCGAAACCCTTTTTTGGGTCGAAAACGGCAGAACATGACGTCACTCTGACGTCATTTCCGGCCAACCTATCATAGCCTTTGGAAAAATTGTTGGTCACAATGTGTAAAATTGATGTCCGGGAGGGTACTGAAAGTTTGGTGACGATCAGCGCAGTGGTTCTGGAGATATATCGAAAAGTCTGGAGGGGGGGCAAAAAATAGCCCCCCACCAGGTCGCGGGTTAAATGTATTTAACAAAATTGCATGATACCTTTTATTAGCTGAAACATGTATGTCTTGAAATATGCACGGATCAAAACAAAACACACACAATGTCGTTAAACGCCAACTGATGCCGGTAGTATTCATTCACTGTTGTATAACTCATCACAGTATACGTCAGTCGCGAAGACAGGTACAGGGGCAATTTAGGAACACCATAAGTTAGGATTATCACTTCTAAATCTTGCTGATACCTAACCGAAACACCATGAATAGAACTTCACACTGAAATTGCGCCGACCAGAGGCAGCTGGGAGCGCATCGCCGCGCTGGCTAGTCCAATAACGGCATATTGAGCCGCTAAGAGGCGGCTCAGGCGCGTTACATATGCATGAGAGTGTTACTGGGAACTTCTAACGCCATTGTTCAAACCGTAATATGAGACGGTGCCTTTGGTGAGCCTCCCGGCCCGTCACCGTTTCCGTTTGCTTTTGTTTGGGATGGTGGCCGGATGGCGCCAAGCACAAGTCCGTGACGAATCTCTTCTGACCTGTTCAAAGAATGGGACAGTGATTGACAGCATGGTGAAGTGCGTAATGCAAGAATAGTGTGGTGATAACTTCCGTCACGTAGCTTTTCATGTGTCTAGTCTCTGCCGTCTCATTTATGTACTGCCGCCCGGCTGCGGCGCGGCGGTCGCCTGCGGGTTAGACTGTTCCGCCGTACAGCGCACTGGAAGGTAGACTGTGCCGCACGACTCGTTACTCCGTGCGTTCGGCAGTAGGGCTCGCCGCATATACCGGCCATTCCGTTGGGAAAACTGGGAGGTTGTTGGCACCGATCAATGACGGGCTTCTATGGGCACATAATAACCCATCAGAGGGGGTGACGAATGTGTGCACCTAATTATTATATTTTCTTATTGATACAATAAGCATGAGAAGAATGCGCATATCATCGGTTGCGACACGTCAGGAAACGTGCAACATTTCCATCTGTCGTACTTCACTGGTGAAAGTTTCTGTTTTGCATCGATGGTAACTTAAGACCGGGTTACATGTTCGTTACATCGTATATGTGTTTGTTCGTTGGTATATCAATGTGTTAATGTAATTGAAGAGTTAATGATAAATTACGGATGTTAGGTACGCATGGAAAAGGAGGTCTTGTTTATGATTCTAAATTCTACTAAAAAGACTGTTATTCAACTAGTATATAATTGGCTGTGAAGCTAAGATCTCTATTTTAACCTCCGGTCGATTTGGCCAGCTAGCTGCTTCTGTTTGCACATCCACTTGAACCAATACTATTTCAGACTATAAAATTGCCAGTAGCCAGCAAACGCTTCCCAGTTCTCTCATATTCCCAGAGAGGATATTATTTGTGGGCCCTTTCACCGAGGAATACTACATCTATTTCGGGGTGTGTCCGGCGGCGCGGGCCCGGGCGCACTGATTGGTGAGCGGGCTCCGGTTTTTGTTCGCTCGCCATACAGTGTGGGTCAATTACGGCCGGCACACGGACGCGGCTCTATCACTGGGCTCCGGAGGCGCGCTCGGTCCGCCCCGGCGCCGCTCTCGTATTCCGCGCCGGGCCGCTGATCTGGGCTCATCAGTGGACGCAGAGTCCGCTCTGGAGGTCCACCTCCACACAGGGCGACCAGAACACCGGCAATGGAGGGAATGGCGCCATCGATCCCATCGGCCGCCGCACTGAACAGAATGAAAGTAATTTGACGTAGATGCGTAGATATACCGTAATAGTCGTAAAAAACCTAAGTGGAATGCTATTTTGTTTTGTGGAGCCAGTGATCTAATCTTTTAGACATTCAACGTTGTTTATTCAGGTCATTCTTTGGTGCTATAAAGTACCTACAATAGTCATTATGCAGTAAATCATGCAAAAACAGCCTATGTTACTTTCCTTTTGGATTTTTTTCCATAGTGCAGTCAGTACGACTCAGTTCAGGTACAACGCTGCATTTACATTCTGAAATGCTATTTAAGCTGTACTTACCGCTCGGTGTCAGCACGGTGTCAGCTGGAACCGTTCGATTCCACTGGGTTTGGGACCTGACCGCATAGAATCCAGGGGAGCTGATATTGACACGGCCGTCCGGTTTGTGACCAGCCATATCTTGGCATTCCCCGCCATGCAGCCGAGTCCCGACAAATTTGGATGGGCTTTGTACCGTTCATCACGTAACAAGCGTTAAAAACGGTCGATGGCTCACTAAACCATCTGTATCAAGTTGCTAGGGTTTCCCAGCACGTGGTTAGTGCAGTACTAGGTGTCGTAATTATTTATCATCGTGCTCGCTTATGAAAAAAATATTCCCCTCACAACTGTTATGCTGCGCTTGTCAGCCTCCGGCTGTCATTTTTCCTGCCCAGAATCAGCACCATTCCCTTTTCTCCCCTCTAACCCACGGCTGTGTGTCCCTCAGAACATGCTGTTTTACTACGAGACTGAGTCGAGCAGCCGCCCGTCGGGGGTGATCCTGCTGGAGGGCTGCTACTGCGAGCGGCTCATCACCACCGCGGCCAAACCCAAGGACACCGAACCGCTGGTGGGGACGAGGGAGGGACTGTGTCTACCTGGGCCCACGGGCGGGGTGGAGGGGCACAAGTGGTGGGGCGGGGCGGGGGGGGGGGGGAGATTTTCTGGGACTATGAAGTACAAGTGTGTGAAAGTTCCTATATTCGTGGACAGTTTGTGACTTTGGGTTAAAAAGCAGGAATTGAAGCCTTTTTTTCTTTAGATGCATATTTTCGATATGCAGCAAGAGACACATTTTTACATATGTGTATCACTGCTGATATACGAAGCCTGCTCGGCTTTTGTCTATGACTGTTGCCCGTTTCCGGCAGTACTGTCTGTCAATAACATACCGCCGGGAGAACCAGAGGCAGTACGACCTGAGAGCCAACTCTGAGAGCGAGTGCAAGTCCTGGATAGAGGCTATCCGACACGCCAGGTCAGTCGCGATGACGTCACACAGCTCACCCAATCAGCAACCAGTCTATCTGTGCGCCACTGCTGATGAAGCTATAAAAGTATACCGATGCAGTATGCACATCTGCCAGTGTCATTCTGTCAATGAACCTTTTTTTTGTATTTTTCCAGTTTCAACAGGCTCCTGCTTCAAAAGGAGGAGCTGGAACAGAAGCATCTGCACCTGCTGCAAATTGTCGAGAGTGAGAAGACGGCGAAATGGCAGTACTCACAACAATGCGACGAGCTCACCACAGAAATAAAGAAGCTTAGAAACGAGGTAAAAATCTGATCCATATGTCATTTTCAACGTTACAGATTTATTCCCACTGGTATTTATATAATTTATCATGCATGCGTTTTGTTATGACTAGCGTGCGTGATTACCGTCCATTTCTGATTGAAATATGATTCGAGCAGGCAGCCCCTAGGAACAGCCATACTTCTTTCTGTATGCAGAACGTCCAAATGCCTTCGAACGCCGAATACCACCGAGCCCCCTACAGTCACCGTGCCTTCTGTCATCGAGCCTTTCTCCAGCCACCGAGTCCTCTCGGGGGCTTTGTGACTGTCTGAATAGGCTCGGGGACTGTCTGGGTAGGCTCGGTGACTGTCTGAATAGGCTCGGTGACTGTCTGGATATACTCGGTGACTGTCTGGGTAGGCTCGGTGACTGACTGGATAGGTTCAGTGACTGCAGAGGGCCGGTGACTGACTGAGGGTTCGGTGACTGAGGGCTCGGTGACTGTCTGGGTAGGCTCGGTGACTGCAGAGGGCTCGGTGACTGTCTGAGGAGCTGGCGGCGCTCTCTCCCGCCGCTGTCGGCCATCGATCTCTCGCCGGCAGTGCCGTGCCCGATAGGCCCGTCGCGCCGGGTCGGCAGTTAGCCGACTAATTGCTCCCAACTCGGCGCTGAGCGACCGATTGGATGCGGGTGTCACCGGCCAGAGCTCTCCTCTCCTCCCCCTGGATTTACTCAGTCGTGTCGCGCAGTTACGTTAGTCTTGTGTGTTATGGGCTTGTCAACGCGAAGAAAACCAGACCCCCAAATTAATAGAGCGGTGTTACATGTGATAAATGTGTCCGAACTGGATGCTGAGATGGAAACGCCCACTGAATTACTTTAAGAATATAATTTTCTAGTTATATGTAGTTTCTTTTGTGGTTGTGGATGCCCTTTGCGTCATGTGGATATGTGAAGGTGACAAATGAGACATCTCATCGGCGGGCCATTTTGGTGATAGGAACAGGTAACATACTGACCTTTATATGCACATGCATGTACAGGTCTCGCGGGTTTTAGCGGTAGGTTTTGCACCTAGAAAATTTAGTGTACTTCAGGCTATATCTTCATCGTCTTAAGCTTTTAAGTGTTGAAGATGCGATCGACTTGTTGGGTAACAAGCCGGCCATGATCGTGTAAAATGGCTTCATCGTAGATCGATTAGTTTCTGAGATATAACCGGAAATGTAAAAGTGCAAAACCTACCGCTTAATCTCGCGAGACCTGTACCTTGTGGTTCATTTTTCCCCCTATAGTTTTATGTATTCTGTTTCACATAAACCTTACCTTAGTGATGTAAGCAAGCGGTGAGTAAACATTTGTGACTCAGACATTTGGCAAACCATACGATAAACAGTTGTACTTGTTTCCGTAAACTTAAGCCATGCCATGCGCGCGCTGGCAGAGGTAAGTGGGCGGCTAATGAACCACGCACAACATATCGGCGTGTTCTGACATTGTTCTCATTTCCAGCTCTGCAGTCTGAAGAAGGACTGGCGGTTTTTGCCCCGCCAACAGTCCGAGGAGAGCGAAGAGTCTGATGAAATAAAGAAGATAAAAAAGGTGCAGAGTTTCTTTCGCGGCTGGCTGTGCCGCCGGCGATGGAAACAGATTGTCGAAGAATACATCAAATCACCGCACGCCGAGAGCATGCGAAAGAGGAACAGGTACGTTATTAGAGAGAAATACAAATGCACTGCAAGTTCCTGGGCTTTAATTAATTAACTGCATTCAATCTAGGTTTGTTTTGAGTAACTAGCTTTGATTGATCCATGGGGGTATGCTGAAAGAAGTCATACATTAGGTATTTTACGAATATATCATTTTGAGAGAGAAAGAGAGAGAGAGAGAGAGAGGGGGGGGGGAAGAGAGAAAAGAGAAAGAGAGAGTAGTACCTATATGGTAATCACTTTGAACAACTCAGTTTGCTCTTGTTCCAGTCTGGTATTTCGAATGGTGGAAGCAGAAGAGGAGTATGTAGAACAGCTAAACATCTTAGTGACGGGGTTCCTGCGGCCGTTCAAAATGGCCGCCTCCTCAAAACTGCCGCCGTGCAGCCACGAGGACGTCAACTCCATCTTCCTCAACTCGGAAACGCTGCTGTTCCTCCATCAAATATTCTTAAAGGGCCTTTCAGCTAGAATGGAGAGCTGGCCAACCTTAGTGCTGGGTAAGTGTTGAGTAGAGGTGCAACATTTCCCCATAATCTCACCACTGTCCTGTAAGTTTGCGGAAAACTGCTAGAGTAAGAAATATGCAACCACAGTGATTGTAATATCTGGTCATCTGCTACGAGTAAAATAATTTAACGTTACGATATTACAAGTAAATAGAGGAGAGATTATCATCAACATTTTCGTGGACAAAAGGTTAGATTCATTGGTCAGACATGCTGCACCTCTATCAAAGAAAGACGACGTTCTGATATCTTATCTTTTTTGTAATGCCTTATTTTATCATGTATGAGCCCGTAAAGAACAACGGTGGTTATCTTTAAATATCTGGCATGAGCATGGGAATTATGTCGTTAACTACATATTTTAGTTCCTTTTTAAACCAAATAATTCAAACATCGGAGCATTACGGTGTTATACTCGTTTTTTTATGTATTTTCGATTTGTGTATTATAAAGATTCGTCAACTCGCATTCTGTGTTCTGGAACACTAGATAGCGTCTCACATTATCATTTTGAATGTAGGAAAATTCACAATGCCTATTATATCTCCATTTGCTCGTATCCTATCAGCGGAAGTGTTTCCGGGCATCAGAATGCGATTTTTCGATACCTCGGGTATGTACGGGCAGTATATTACACGGGCAGCTTTTGTTCTAGCTTTGCCTTGCTTTCTGGGGTTTTTCTGGGTGGTGGGTGGGCCGTTCCCGCCTGGCCTGCACGCTGCGGCGCTGGGCAGCAGTGAGAGGCCTGTGCTCTGTCTCTGTCGATACCCGGCGGCTTGGGGCGCGGCGGGCGCGGCGGGCTAGCGGGACTGCGGTCCGTGCGCCGGGCGCGGCGACTCTCACACACATCTGACCTGTTCACAGATCACTGCCGGCCTATATGTGCTCCATTAGGTATGTGGCGTCCGGCTGCCGAGTCTTGTCAGTGTCGTGGTGCCACTTAGAGTCATGCTGTCTGACTGTCGGCCCTCTCCACCGTGTACTCGCTGTCCGTCCACGGGGGTCAGACGCACACAGCGCTGCAGTGACCTGACCGCATGGGTGGTGTGGTGAAAAAGCCAGCACAGCGGACGACGGGCACTGGGCAGTATGGCGGACAGTGGACAGTCGCGGACATGTAACAGTCGCGGACGCAGAGCAATCGCGTACACCGGACATTATACAGTCACGGAGACGGTTATAGGAGGTGACACAAGACAGTCGCGGACACTAGTCAGTCGCGGATACTGGACAGTCGCGGACACTGGACAGTCGCGGACACTGGACAGTGGACAGTCTCGGAAATAGTCACATTCGCGGAAACTGGACAGTGGACAGTCTTGGAAATAGTCACAGGAGGGGACACTGGACACCCGACAGTCGCGGAACACTTCCACAGGGGGCACCGGACAGTCGCGGACACGGTCACAGGAGGGGACATTAGACAGTCGCGGACACGGTCACAGGAGGGGACATTAGACAGTCCTGGACACGGTCACAGGAGGGGACATTAGACAGTCCTGGACACGGTCACAGGAGAGGACATTTAGACAGTCCTGGACACGGTCACAGGAGGGGACATTAGACAGTCGCAGACACGGTCACAGGAGGGGACATTAGACAGTCCTGGACACGGTCACAGGAGGGGACATTAGACAGTCCTGGACACGGTCACAGGAGGGGACATTTAGACAGTCCTGGACACGGTCACAGGAGGGGACATTAGACAGTCCTGGACACGGTCACAGGAGGGGACATTAGACAGTCGCGGACACGGTCACAGGAGGGGACATTAGACAGTCGCGGACACGGTCACAGGAGGGGACATTAGCCAGTCGCGGACACGGTCACAGGAGGGGACATTAGACAGTCGTGGACACGTTCACAGGAGGGGACATTAGACAGTCCTGGACACGGTCACAGGAGAGGACATTAGACAGTCCTGGACACGGTCACAGGAGGGGACATTTAGACAGTCCTGGACACGGTCACAGGAGGGGACATTAGACAGTCGTGGACACGTTCACAGGAGGGGACATTAGACAGTCCTGGACACGGTTACAGGAGGGGACATTAGACAGTCCTGGACACGGTCACAGGAGGGGACATTAGACAGTCCTGGACACGGTCACAGAAGGGGTCATTAGACAGTCGTGACTCGTGGACACGGTCATAGGAGGGAACAGCATAATTTTTGCGCGCCTGGGAGACTTATCAGTAGCGGAACGGGAGCCAACGGTTATGAGAGAAGATAATCCGTGAAATGGATTATCAATATGATGCTCAGTTTTCATCTTCTTTCACCATTAATCTGCGTCCGCCTAAGTGATATTTGGTTGTTGATTTGTGGCTTCCATGTCTCGTAATCTTGTGTTTGGTTTTGTCGTTTACTGCGAGGGAGTCGTGACCTCTAGCATTTGATGTTTCTTTGCAGCAACACCACTTGAGGTTATTGTTTCATATCTAATCACATTGTTTGATGCCAAGTAGACATAATATCCATAGCATAGATGTCATAAGGATAATGTAGTTTCATACACAGCACTGACAGAGGCAATATCAGTCCCGAGTTTCACATATTGACAAAAAAGTGATGAGATGTTGGCCAATGTGGAGTGAATAATGTCTAAATATTGTGGTGTATCAGTGGAAAATAGTTTTGGTTTGACACACTGCATGCATTCCCAGCTCCCTTGGTTCCAGTCACCAGAGAGGAATGCGTAAAACGCATGCTGCACCAGGAATGTCCCAATGCAGTGCAGATACCCAGATTTACCATGATGCATCAGTACCAAGAGCACGATGTTCTTCTTCCACCCACTAGCCATTTTCGATAGAGGTAGAAATATAGTTAGTTACTGGAAAGTTATTCAAGGTACATACAGCATTCATAAGAATCAAAGTACTTTGCTATTAGCTGTTAGCGTTGAAAACGAACATTAAAATGTATGCACTTTTAATACAATGCAGCGAATACCAAGTAAATATTGGAACTATGTCAAAGTTACTCTTGCATAGCCATTTGTAAGACATCATTGCTATCAATGGTACAGTCTTTTACAAAACTAATGCATGCAAACTATGAGTGACGTGATAGCGTGGATTGGTGTTTCTGCTCGGAGTGACGAAATTCTGTGATCACAGTCATAACGAAAACAGCATGAAGTTGCAGGCAGCTTTGTGTCATTTAATGACGAAGCTGCACGGGTCTAGCTCGGAGCAAAACTATAGCTAATTTCGATCAATTGCAGTGTTTCTCGAGGCTGATTGACTCTAATGATGATTGCATTTCCCTGTTTCATTCTCGGCGCAATGGATTCTCCGCTGGGGCTAAGTTCCCACAACCTAGCCTGTGAAAACCATTGTTTCATTTTTATACAAATAGCTGACTAAGAGATGATTCTGTTCGTACGATTATGCAAAAAAAAAAAAAAAACACAAAAAAAAACAGGAAGCTCGGAAATCTGGCAGCTGAGACAATCATGCGTAGAAAATGAACCTCTACATAGTTCAATGGTGATGTTCATGAGTATTTACGTACCCTCACCACCATGTGCCAGAAGGCGCCAAGTCATGAGTAAGCGATGCTACAATATAGGTACATTTGGTCAAAGGTGTTTCATAGAACAGATAATCTTCACCACGAAGAAGAAGGGCCAATGTTTTTCCAATATCAACATAATTCAAGAACCTATAAAAATGAAAACGGCATAAATCACAATGTAGGCAGACGAGACTAATAACAATCCGCAGGGAGCGAGCAAGACACTGTCCTTTTGACAGCAGCTCAGGGAGCCCCATCACCTGTTCTGTCTGATATCACACAAACCGCACATACTCTCGGAGTCCGTTCGAGCCCTCGGGTCGGGTCTCTCCGCTGCGGAGGGCTCCCTGTGGCGCTGAGCGATGGCGGTGCTGATCCGCTGCCGTTCGCCGCCCACTGAGCGACTCTCGCGGTCCGCCGCGGCCGGCCCACACCCCTCAGTGGTTTGGCGACACGGCCGGGCCGCTGTGGATTCAATTTGCACGCGACACACGCCGGGCCGAGAGCCCCCTCACGGAATGAGTGTCGCCCGATAACCCGTGCTTTGGTGTTGACCAGTGTGGTTATTGAGGCGTGTGCAGTGTTGCCCTTGCATGTTGTGACAAAACTCACCAATATGTAGTGAAAAGTGCCCGCGTCATGTTTGCCCCATACCCCAACACCACTCTGACTATTAGGAACCCGCCCTGTAACCAATTGAATCCAGTCGAATTGGAGAGGAGGGGGGGGGGGGTAGGCAATCAGCACATATATCCTCCTTACATGTACTAGTATGCTGGTACGATACTTAGAAAAAAAAGCTTTTTACTTGCACTTGAATTAGACTTTGGCATTTACTGAACGTTTTTTGCCTCATTTGTTATAGTTTTTTCTAGGATATTTTGAAACGGGTAATGCCAGTGACCTGAATTAAGTCAACCATTAAATTAGTTAATGCTTGGATTTTGTTGTTGTCGTTAGTATAACGCATAAATGTATGTAAAACTTACAACACGAATCGTTTTTATCACAGTAAAACAGCATCGTTGGTTAACGAGACAGCTTGACAATAAATGGACAGGTTTTTAGCATTCTATTGATATATTTTTTTTTCACTAGCACTAGCTATGAGGATAAATTATATACATAACGGGCAAAGCAAATGGCAAATCAAATGGCCTTTACCGTGGTCTCCCGGCAATTCTCTTCTTGATTAGGTACCTAATTGAGTTTGTGTTACCTACATTTTTCTCCTTTTATTTTATGTAGGTAAATAAGTAAATTTATAACTTAACTGTAAAATTATGACTAATTACCTTACCACTTAACCGTAGATCCACCCTGACCACCCTTACATTTTACACCCCTCCCCATTTTTACCATACCTTTTAGAGGTGCAAATGTCAAACTCTGTTACGGTAGCCAGCCGGCCTTCGTGCTATGCACTCGATTCGTTCATTCCATTGCAGGGGACCTGTTTGACATGCTACTACCGATGCTGAGCATATACCAAGAATATGTTCGCAACCATCACTACAGCCTACAGGTGAGTGTCCGAGTATTAACGTGTAACTTACAGGGCCTGGATGAAGGTAAAATAACTGCATCATAGGAGAGTGAGGCTATTTGTAACTGTCTCAAATCCCAATTGTTATTGCATATCATAGCTTTTCAAATGTACACATGGCCTCCGCAATTGCAAAAAATGGAGGCCTTAAAAGCCAATATAACGATACTGCAGAGTCCAGCACGTTATACTGGCTTGCCGACTGTGAATGGCAGGGGCGCCGCCACGGATTTTCGACTGGGGGGGACGAACTGACCGACTGAAAACCCAAAAGAAGGCATTCTTACCGTGCCATTTCGGGCCGATGCATTTAATGTTTAAAAGGAAACATGCCACTTTTAACATGGGGTTTTGAACTGAAGTAGGTACCTACTGTCTCTTTTTTACTTGCGTATGAATCGGCGGCGCGAAGCGCCGCGAAAATTGGCAAAAAAACATCTGGCAAAACTGCTCCAAAGTACAAATTTTGCAGCCCATGTACTAAGCCACAGATAACAGTAGTACTACTGTTATGTTATCTGTGACTAAGCTGATACCGGAAAACCTTAGGGCAGGTCACCAAGTCAAGAAGTCAAGTCGCCTCAAAGTTTTGCGGTCCTGTCAAGTGTCAAGTCTACCGTAGGTAGGTATCGCTTATTTTTTAGAACCTGGAAATTTAGTGTAATGTGAGTGCTGAACTGTGGGGTCGGGGCCAGAGTCAGTCGGAGTTGAGAGTTTTGGCCAGAGTCGGATTTGGAGTCTTCGAAATTTTTCGTATTTTGACTCCGAGGTCGGACTGGATTAAAGTCATGCTCTTGGCTGGTTAGTCGAAATATCTAAGCCCGTTTTTCGGCCAGTCGCGTTATACGACACAACACACATTGATGACGATATCAAAATAGGCAGTTCCGCGATGACAGGTCGGATATTAAGAGCTGGAGATTTTGTTGCCCGATGTGGCAGGGGTCAGACCAATGCATGTAGGCCCACACCCACACTGAGTATTTAAACCTCCTGCGCCCTCTCAGATTCGGCACCGTTTCATCTTTTCCATCCTCAAGACAGTCAAATCCTTTCCTTCACGCCGCAACCCCTGTTCCGGGCTGGACGGGCAACTCTATCCCATGCGGTAATGGCTCCACAATGGAGCTGGCTCTTTGCCGGGTGCAGTGAGTGCCATGGTGGGGGCGGCCTCTCCAATTGGTCGGGTTCAGCCCAGGTGACTCACTGGGGTGCCTGCCCAGACTAATGTCTCCCCCTAATCCTTAGCATCCTTCCGGCTCTGAAATGGTCTCATTGGACCAAAGAATCTAACCCAACAAAACAAACACGCAAACAGATAAACAAAAACAAAACAAACAAACAAACAGACAAGGTCCTCTTACACTAGCATCAGGCCCTCAAAAGCAATAGGTATCGTTTGCTTTTGAGGGTAATTTGGAAAATAACTTCTCGAAATTTCACCTTTGACCTGCCATAACTGGGTCAAATATTAACCTAGGGTCAACAAATATACCACCAATCACGAGTACTCGTTCAGAGCAATCAACTGGTCTTTGTTTTGGAGCGCTACGACGCTTATTTTCGAAACGCCAAAGGGGGGGGGGGGGCGCATCGACCTTTCCGTGCCAGGTCGTGTTATGAGAAATGCCCTGCCAGGGTGAGGGTTAAGAAACATCAGACCGAAAGCATTAAGCAAAACTGGAGGCGATAAACCCTCGGCTCCATGAAGTGGGAGAGGAAATCCCTCCGTCCCTCTCCTGTCGCGCCACCCTTGCTTACCAGTCTCTGATGGGTTCGGATTTGATAAGCTGATCAAATACAAATACATTTACATTTACCTCTTAAGGTCTTATTTGTGTGTCGAAGTGACCAGCATCAACATCCTTTTGAAGAAGGCCTATTTCTGTGTTCGTGACTCCATTGTTAATGGCCGTTACAAATAGTAAGTCTTTTTTAACATTCACGGATGTTTTATTTGGAGAGGGCCCCTCCAGATTCCTCAACTGGGAGTACGCGTCTCCCCTCCCCCGCTTTTGACCCATGTTACTGCCTACCAGTATTTTCGCGATACCTACTTAACATTTCTGACCTGACAAAACAAAAGAAATTCGAATGATTTTGAAGTTTGAACATTCAAATTTCGAGTAGGATAACAATGAGTGTTTGGGGGGGACGTCCCCCTTCCATTCTGAGAGTGGGGGGACGCCCCCCGTCCCCCCGGTGGCGGCGCCCATGGTGAATGGTGCTGTACTCCACTTTCCAGTGTTCTTTTTTCGCATTTTTTTTTTAAGAATAAGCCCCGTCACAGTCTACAATTTGTGAATGCTTCTATAGGTATGTACTTCCTAGGTTTGTTGACTGGAATCAAAATATCGTCATTGAATAGACCCTTAGGGCCAAGCTTAGGGCGAACTCCAACAAGACAAAACGAAGGCTCATCTAGGCTGCTTTCGACGGCTTTGACAGGGATCATTGCGCAAATTTGGAGCTTGAACCAAGCTGTTACTTGGCAGTGATAAGGGCGTTTTATGGTAGTGAGTTGATTTGGATAAGTCAAGGTCCGCGGCTATATTCACGTCGTGTATCATCCAAATATCTCTCTTTCGGGAAAGTCAGTTGTTAGGGTAATTCAATGGATTACATCACCAGTTCTGCTGTAATATTCTTGGACTGTTTTAACTGGACATCGATCGCCATAATCTTATCGTCTCGACTGAAATAGAGAGCGTTGCCATCGCTCCGGTGATGTACGAGCCAATGATGGAACCCTTCAATGACGTCACCGTCAATTTTGAGCGACAGCCCTAACTGGTTGCTGCCGAGCAACACTGAAATTGTGTTCCTCCAGACAACTCAGGGAAAAATAAAACTGACATCGCGGATACTTTCGAGCGGCCGCCAGTATCAGTCACAGAACGTATGCGTGGAAAAATCACGTCACTATGCGTGACATCGTGTAGGGCAGAAAATACTCCGAAGCTGGGTGGGAATGCTATGTGAAAATGGCAGTGAATTGAGAAGAAGACTAAAGAAAATAACACTAAACATGCATATACGTACGGGAGACTATATGTGCATACGTATGAACTATGTGTGTACTGCCTAGTGTGTATGTATGATGTATGAAACATATTTCCTACTCATATACATAGCATGTAAAAGCATATTGTGTAGCATGTCTCATCAAGTAACATATAAAACGTCTCAAATCTTGAGTACATACCTACATAAAGCACAGTACTTCAGCCGAGTATGGCCTATAACCAATCTGCAGCACCGTGCTGTGTGCCCTACTGACCTGGCGCGTATTGTGCGCCTGCCCTCCCAGGTGCTGACGGAATGCAAAACAGAACTCGCAGTTCTCTACGTTCTGAGTCGGCTGGAGACAAGTCGACGTGCCAGGGACGTAACCTGGAGACGTTCTCACATATCCCATGCATCAGGTGAGGATGGGACAGAGAGAGAGGAGAGAGAGAGAGAGGAGAGAGAGAGAGAGAGAGAGAGAAGGAGGAGAGAGAGGAGAGAGAGAGAGAGAGAGGAGAGCGAGAGAGGAGAGAAGAGAGAGGAGGAGAGAGGAGAGAGAGAGGAGAGAGAGGAGAGAGAGAGAGGAGAGAGAGAGAGAGAGAGAGGAGAGAGAGAGGAGAGAGAGAGAAGAAGAGAAAGCGAGAGAGGGAGAGAGAGAGAGCGAGAGAGAGACAGACAGACATACATACATACAGACAGACAGACAGACAGACAGACAGGGAGGAAGAATGAAAATCCGTTCGAGGTCCTGGCAGCCCGTGTGACGCCCCTCCATCCCGTGCGGCAGATCCCGCGCTACATCATCACGCTGCACGAGCTGCTGGCGCACACGCCTCACAACCACGTGGAGCGCCGCTCTCTGGACGAGGCCCGCAAACAGCTGGAGCAGCTCAGCCGGCAGATGCACGACGAGGTGAGCGCGCCGCCGACCTCCCCGTTTGCCGGTGCGTCCCCCGGTGGGGCCGCCCTCAACCGGCGGAGAGTGTCCGAGCAGAGTCTGCTTCACCGGGTGGGGTGTGCCTCCATCAGCCCAGAAATCCATCGGCCATCTCCTCATCCCCATAAGCCCCCTTTTATTACCTATGCTTCTCACTTTTGATTTTTTTTTATCATAACAGATGTAACATGAAATTATCCCGCTCTTAAATCGACAACAAATTTGTCGGACCAGCATTTCCAGGCGGGCCCAGACCCATTGGAAAAATGAGCACACTTGGCGACGCTAACGCTATTTTTCGATTTTTTTTTCTCACTTTTCGTTTCGACGCTGAACCGACCGGACCTGCGGAGATTAGGGTAGGGTAGAATTAATTCAGAGGGCTGATGACACACGATATGCCGCGTTGAGTATTTAGTGGACCGCTCCCCAGTGACGCAAATGTCTGTGCGCTGCTGTGAGTTGACCCTCCACAGTCCACACTCCTGTCGCCTTCCACGACTGCTCCCTCCCCCCTCCCCCACGACACCCGATCGCCGGCGAACGGAGCACGCACGCGGCGGAACACGGGACGAGCCGGTGGCATCGCGGCGCACTAAGCTCTCCAGTGCCACTAATTGTCATACATAGATGCCGTCCACAACTCGTCATCAAATCGCCATATGAGAGCGAAATTTTCCACAGTCAGTCTTGCCGTTGAACTTCTCGACTCGCTTTGCCATGATGGCTTGCTGTGGGTATATGATTGCTCTCATGTCAGCTGCATTACGATTGGCTGCTGCGTGTCATTAGTCGTGTCGTGACCGGCAGTCTGATCAGCAACTCAGGTCACGCACTTCCTGCCGCCGCGAGACGCCGGTCAATGGCGGCCCGTTCGCGCCGCTGTCATGGACACTTGGTCCGCGCGTGGACGTGTCCGCGCCCTGCTGATGACATGTTCTGAGTGCAGTGCGCACTGCCAGCAGGCCGATGAAGAGCTTGCTTGTTCATTGCTTGGAAGACAGAATCAAAGCCTATCACAAGGATAAAACTTCTAACCGTTAATGAGTTCATGAGCAGGTGGTAAAATTTGAGGCTATTTTAACGTTTTAGATTTTTTCATCTCAAAATCTTTGATCTAGGGTTTGCGAATATACATACTTGTGATTCTTCCTGCATTTGAGCATCAGATGCCATTCACACTTGAATATTGTCACATTATTGCTTTTAGCGATAATAAATGTAACGAGATTTCGAGCGAGCTGTGCAGCAATTTCCTTCGGTGTAAAATTTCGTGGAGTTGCAATAAGTAAGCGAGGCAAAGCAAAACATTTTTTCGACGAATATTATTTTATTTTCAGTGGATCCGCGTTAGACAAGTTAGACTAATGTTCTATTATTAACCTCAGCAAGGATGATCCAAATAGGAGCGGCTCGAACCAGTACCCACTAACCAGAGCCATTGGCCAGCTTCTCAAGATGTTCAAAGGGCGCCTACTGCTTTAATTTACTTGGTTCTGACATTTGTACAGGACATATCTCTGAGCGCCCGGAAACCAGCCACTTTGTGCCAGTTCAATGAGATGAGCTCCTTTAGATATCACGCTTCGTAAAAGGAAATTATGAAGCCCACGATGAGATGACATTAGCAGAGTCAGACATTATCGGCTCATGTTCAATGCCGTCTAAGAATACTATGGTGGGATCCTAATGCATGTACCTGAGATCCTAATGAAAACTCAAAGAAGGATCCTAATGTTTTACAATGACGGATCTTTTATTCGCATTTGTGTTGTTCAAGAAAACGTCAGCGATTTCATCGACCAATTAGAACTAGAAGACGTCAGTCAATTTTAGGGAGCGGTCCCAGTGGTTGCTAGACGTTCAAGCTAAATTATCACACCCGTATTTATGTGATAGGCAATGGGCATCCTTTGACTGCATTTTAATAATGATCTTGTGCCGCAGGTCAGCGAAACAGAGAATATCAGGAAGAACCTCGCCATCGAGCGTATGATTGTGGAGGGATGCGACATCCTACTAGATGTCAACCAGGTCTTCGTGCGACAAGGTCAGTTGCTGTCGCATCTCCATCTCTCTTCTCGCTCTCTCTCGCTCTCTCTCTCTCTCTCTCTCTCTCTCTCTCTCTCTCTCTCTCTCTCTCTCTCTCTCTCTCTCTATCTCTCTCTCTCTTTCTGTCTCATCTCTGCAAACGCAGTACCTTTTTCCACTTTCGGTCGCTGCACTCCCTTATCTGCATCTTCACTACATCGGTTCCCTTTCTCTCCAGTGTTTCTTCTACCTCCCCATTCCCACGCTGCCCCTGGCCCACATTTCCTTTTTGTCTCCACTCCCTCTCCCTCTCCTCTCCCTCCCTCTCTCTGCTGGCTGGTGACGGTCGCCGGCCGTGCGCGTGGTGCGGCCGCCGAGACGCGCGCGTATCGACCGGCCCAAGGTAAGTCGGCTATTGATTCGGCGCTACCTGTTGCCGGCGGGAGCGCGCCAAATTTACCCGCTGTGCCGGCGGCGCCGGCGCGGCTGCGACGAGCCCGGCGCAGCGGCGGCGGCGGCGGCGGCGCGCCCGGCCCGGGCTGGACGGCGGCGCGGCGGCCCTTCACTCGGCCCGCTCCGCTCCCAACCGACGCCACACACCGGTGACGGGCCCTATTGATGCTTGTTCCCGGTAATTGGCTGACCGAGACTGACCGGCACAGCTCGGTTGACAAACCAAACGCGAGCTGACCTTCGGAATTAGACTGTTTTGATAGCGACATGCATATTGCGGAGGTTTGATCAGCAATGCTTTTCGCTTGTGGATCATTGGTGAACGGTGTTGCCAATATATCTTTATCATGAATATCATGAACACAATTCTCTTTGATTTATTTGTGCTTTTTAGGCTCTCGTCCGCCGTAATGGCGTTTTTACAGTCGGTGGGGAGCGGGAGATCGGACTCTCCCCCGCAGCTGTTCAGCCCCACATAGATCAAACTAGATCTTCGCGGAAAAAATAGATGTGCTGCCTTTGCCGAGAAGAAGCCGACAATGCCCAATTTCAAGGCTCTAGGTCATTGGTTCATCTAGGACGATGCCCAATTTCAAGGTCCTAGGACATTGGTACTTCAGACCAATGACCCAAATGTCAGGAAAGCGGGACTGCTAGATCTTCTTCATGCACATATTTGATAGTTTAGTCCTGAGTTTAATTTCTGCTTTCAGTATGATAAGGGCATTTGTTTTGTCTAATGAATGTCTAGGCATGACGTTTCATTCATTTGAGGTTTAGTCCAAAAAAGAGCTCCACCTTTTTTGCAATAATTTGCCTTGACCTTTGAGATAGGCAATGAGATGTCACTGTATTCAGAAAGTTTTCAAACTAGAGACATAAGGAGGAAGTCATTTGCAATGTCTCAAAGTCCCTTTATACATCTTTGATATTACACCACTTCGTCAAATTTTGCAGCCCACTCTTCAATTGAGTTACACTCAAACCTTTTTTTGTATTTTCCTCCGGAAGTATTTTAGATTGAATGGTGTTTGCTTACCTATAGGACGAAAAATATCCCCTGGGACCGTTATTGGTACAGATTTATGCCGGATTTCGTTCGTTACGTGAGCGCAACATACGCTAGGACTATTGAATCAGGCTTGTCTCCACACCATAACGCAATGTCGTTAGTTGATTTCCTGGGCTGTAATTTGATGATGAGATAGTACAAATGTCACACATTAAAAGTCACAAAAGTTTTACATGAAAGCAAGCTGCGGCAATGATAACCTTTCGGAACATATAAATCACCCTGTCTTGGGTCTGGTCCTGCTTGTATAGTTCGGATATGCCCAGTGTCAGTTCTCCTTCTATAACCAGTATCGGTTCTGCTCCTGACTCTTGTTCAGGAATGTCCGTTTATAGCTGCTCTCCCGCGGTAACCAGTCGTGGTTCTAGTCCTGGTTGTGGTTCGCATTCGTCAGACAGTCGCTCTCCTGCAGTACCTAATGATGCCCGGACGGAGCGCATCCGACCGCCGCGGGCTCTCCTGGCTCTCCGAGCGCTGCGCTGTCCCATTCGCCCCGCGGCGGCCGGTGCGGGGGCGGCTGCAGGCCCGCGGTCGGCCCGGCCAGCCACCATTACCGGACCACCTGTAACGCCAGATGCCCCAGCCTCCGCTAACGAACACACCGGCTTTTTGCCGAGCTCACCAGAACAGCCGCCGGCACTGTGTATCGAACGTATAAAGCCCGCGCATGGTGAAACATTGTGGAGACATGTGGCTATAATAACAAACCATTACTCTTTCTTTATAATAGGCACGACACTGCGAAACCATGCAGTATTGAGCCTGTGCTGAGTTGTCTTATGCTAATGTGATTGTGTATGAGTGTTCTTGTAAAATATTTTCCATATTTATTACACTACTGTTAACGCCAGACCCGTTGAGACCCTAATTTTTCGCGATTATTTTTAAATGCGTGGAATGATTTAAACCATATTTAGGAAAAAGCTGTTTCAAGACCTGCCGAAACTTTTTCTTCAAATACGTTTTGTTGTCATTTAAATATTTGTGGCACTTGTCATTGACTCGTAATGTTAACTGTTTTTCCATCCTGGATAGAGGCTTTCATGCGTCATATGACATTAGGCTCCGCCCACGACTGCGGCATTGACCCGTGCCCATCAGCGACCTCTGTACACACGACACCCCTGCCATCTGTAAAGGACTATGAATTTCGCTGACGCTTCACGTGCTATGTATCAATTCAAATTGCAGCAGACGGTCAAGTAAATGTTAAGCTCTTGTTGACTCTCGTAAATAGGACCAAGAGAACCATCACTCCTAAACCTACTACTCACACATGCTTCGAACAAATGTTAAAGATTCCTAACAAATACGATTTTCGATGTAGGATATATGTTTGAAATACGAGCGAGCCTTATGGTGTGAAGCGAAGGCAATTAACTAATAATTGCGTTGTTCGATGGTTGCATAGCGATGTACAAATCAGCAACTACTTGATGACATCCGACATCCCATTATCACATTATCTGCAACGCCATAGGCTTTAAATACAGGTGAATATTTCCTAACGTTATGTCAGGTATATGCCATCTGCCCGTCATTTGCAGCTTATGAAAATAAAACAAATATCAGCGAACCTATCAGCATTGTACAAACAATGCGCATTGAGCATTTATGGCTCCTCAGTCACCATGTCGCTCTTTGGGCACTGTCAGACAAGACGTTACGCACAACCCCGCCGGCTTTCGGCACCGCTCGACCGTCCCCGCTCCCCGCCACAGCGCGAGTGACCGCGCGCCGGCCCGAAACGGCCGCAGGCCAAGACCACAGAGGCGGGGCTTAGCTTTGACGTCATAACGTATCAAGGACTGACTGGTGATAGCCTCTACACACCGGGTGAAAATCTTGCTCGAAATTTAACCCGGCACCGCCTGGGCTATTTCCGTACCCACATCAGCCTGGGGGGGGGGGGGGGGGTCGGATCCGACCCCCCCTGTTATCTCAAGAACCAATGGTCGTATCGAGCCCCGCGAGGCGGCGTTCGAAAGGTCTCTACGAGACCTTCCCAAAGCACTCTTAAGATTTTAAGATTGAGGTCAACTTTCGGGTCAAGGTCAGGTCAAAGGTCAAATTCAGGGGTTTTGCATGATTAGGCTTACGGACAGCGGAATCGATAGCTGCTGCTCGAAACTCACCACAAATGACCTCAAAGACCTAGTGAAGGTACCATGTGCGTATAGGGGTCATACTAAGTACGAGTCAAGGTCAGGTCAGGTCACGAAAGGTCACGGTTTTCACTTTCTGCTACATGGGCGTGCGACACATGTTTTATGGCTTATTTTTCACGCCAAATCCGATGGTAATGGTTATATGTGACCCCAAGTCACTGTGCTGGTGATAAGTGTGCATTGAAAGCATAAAAAATAGTTTATACCATACATAAAAACGAGGGCTAAGAAAAAAAGTCAATTTTTCAACTTTTTATTTTTGACATAAAAATGCACTTTTCTAGACGAGCTTTGTCCCAGGAATCTAGTGGTGCCATTTGTTTTCACATGCGACGTTCAGAAGTGCCTCTAATTCGCGAAAATGCTTATGACGTCACCATGCCCTATGCATGTTGGAGCTATTTTTTACAATTTGGGGGTCAAAAATCAAGATAGAAAGTTGAAATTTGGGACATCTAATGTTCTAATAGAGCTCTATAACATATATTCCGGTTTTTTGGAAATTCTTAAAATTTTGGATTTTATTAGCTGTTTTCCAAAAAATATAATTTTTTGAATTTTTAGGGGTGAAAAACGCATTTTATGGAAAATCCGAGATAGCCATTTTAAAGAACTCGTTGAGCTGCGTCTTTTCATGTTCTTAATTTGCAATTTGCTTAAAACCTTGATTTTTGGCGATTTTTTAAACATTTACCATTTTTTGACTGAAAACGCCATGTAGTTACATCACTAAAATCGATATATTTCAGAAATTTTTGAAAAAAATTTTTCTTAAAAATTGCACAGGAGACGTCAAATTGATGGGGGAGAAGGTATGCGAAGTTTCAAGTTGATAGCGCAAGCGGTTCATGAGTTATTCAAGAAAAACGGAGGGGGGGGGGTCGGATCCGACCCCCCCCCCCAGGCGGTCGCGGGTTAACATTACGAGTCAATGAGAATTGCCTGAAATATTGAAATGGCGACAAAATATCTAGACTGTAAAAGTTTCGGCAGGTCTTGAAACGGCAATGTCCTGAGCTTGGTTGAAATTCTTCCACGCATTTAAAAATAATCGCGAAAAATTAGGGTCTCAAGGGGTCTGGCGTTAACAGTAGGTAGGTTCGAGTACTTAGAGATTAAGAGTGCCACCTGCTGTATACGAATAAATACAATAGAATTAATGTGCTGAAAATGTTCAAAGTTTGCTGCCGAATGGCATGAAGGTGAAGTCCCTCACTCCCATTCCGTGTTTGACCCTTTCTTTACGCTGGAACCAGTTTCTACATCTCGGTGGTGACTCTGGCCAGCCGGGGGAATAAAAAGTCGTCTTTTTAACAGGATGGCCGGCGGGGGATCCATCTGCTGGTGGCGCGACCTCGTCGCCGGCCTATCGATTTTGTGGACTGGTTCCAAGAGCAGTGCACCAGACGGCGCATTGCGCGACCGTGCACTGCACAAATCAGTGGATAAATGCTCACTGAAATGCTCCACTCACAACCAAAATCGTCCTAGTTTCTGCAACGAACATTATTATGACCATAGTTATGACATTTACAACGAGCAGTGAAACCAGTGAAAAATTACCCGCCATGCACTTATTGATAACCTTTTGCTTTGTATAGCTTTCAGAGGAATAATTAGGGTTTTGAGCGGTGTATTGCTTCCTCAACATTGTGATTTATCGTTTTGAATCCTGGCTCCAGTGTCCGCCGTGTGTCAGTGGCTATGAATAATCCACGGAGCCATGTTTCGCGGCAGATGCAGTGATGAGTTACGACCATCATCCATACATTATTACCAGCTGCTTGGTCAAACATGTCGCTGCTCCGTTGTTACTGAGCTGTTTGACACAAAGTGGCGGCGCTATTACACCCGGGGACACTGTAACGCTATCGATTTGTGAATAGGTAGGTAGTTCAGTCATCGACCAGGCCAGCGGTTTACGGCACAGGCCCTCAGGGGAATCGGATTGTCTTCTAGCATTACATTTGTCGCACAGTTCCGTATTATCTGCCATTTGTTATATGGTGGGGTCTCACAGTTGTTCTCACCCGTAGGTTCTCTTGTGCACATCCTCCCCGAGAAGCAGCAGCGCAAAACGCCGAAAATCCGCCGAGGCCCGCTGGACGGCTTCTCCAAGCGATCCGACAGGGACAAGGAGCTCATCCGGCAGTGTTTTCTCTTCAGTAACCACCTCATCCTGGCTACCAGGTGTGTAGACGTTCGTTGACGAGCAGCTAGCAAATATGCGTAAGTGCAACAAGCCAGATAAACTGCAGATAAGCACTTGAGAAAACTGATAAGTGCAGTCTACAAAAAGAAATCCTGACAAGTCTTCTTCTTTTTGTTGGCCAATGTACCAGTCAAAAATTGGAAGTGTCTTCATGTGGTCAAGCCGAGAGGGTAATGTAAAATTGCTTTGCCTTTCAGAACCAACAGCGGACACCTGCATTTGATCAATGGGATCGGTCGCGTCTCCCTGGCTGATGCCATTCTCATTGAGGACCCCTCGGAGAACGACGATGACCTGGGTAAGTGCGATAAACCCACTGACGAGTTGACGACCACTAAGGTGCCGCGACATCGGACCATTTTTCGTGACCTTTGACCTCGTCAGCATGAAGTCCAATACGTTTTATGGACCATGGACGTTAGATAGATACTCAGTTAGTACGGCTGATAGCCTAGACACTCCAATGTCGCCATTTTATACTTACCATAACAGAGTTTATTGAGTATACTTTCTTTTTATTCATTTGTTTTAAGTGAAGTGGGGTAGCGTAATGTATTAGCGTATAATATTAATGCAATACCTGTAGATTAATGCCTCGCAATGCATACATTTAATATATGTAGTGCAATGATGGCCTGAAGTTGTTGATATGCATGTCAATTTTCCATGAAGCGATCCGGTAAAATCCACAATAGGTATTCAAAACTATTCTAAACGGTGCAAATTGATTGCATTTGCTGGGACACCACAACAAAACAAAAGCAAAACCCAACCATTGACGACCCATCTGACCAGTCCCTCTCCGTGTGCCGTTTGGGCAGACTCGGAGACCTCCTCCTCCACCTCCTCTCTGTCGGACAACTCGACCGTGGGCCAGCTGCGCCGAGAGCACATCGGACTGGACTTCAAACTGATTGTCGAACGGAAGGGCGACACGCCTCTGGTGCTGCACCTGGTGGCGCCCACCGCCCAGGAGAAGGCTGCCTGGGTCAGCGACATCGCACAGGTCAGTGCAGAGGTCAGCTGGCTAGCGACATCGCACAGGTCAGTACAGACTGCAGAGGTCACTCGGTTAGTGGAAAGGTCATTTAGCTAGTGGGAGGCCAGCAAGGTCAGTGGGGAGGTCAGCTAGTCAGTGACGTCGCTCAGATCAGTGGAGAGGTCAGCCGGTCGCTGAGGTCAGCCGGTCACTGAGGGGGTCACCTAAGTCAGGGGGAGACTAGTCAGTGACATCGCCCAGGTCACTGAGAGAAAAGAGCAAAGTCAGCCGGTCAGCGGGAGCGATCTGTCGGTACTGCGGTACAGTCTAACTAACTACCACCGTGTCCTCCGGTACAGTCTAACTACCAGCGTATCCTGTATTACAACTAGCTACCAGCGTGTCCTGCGGTACAGTCTAACGACCACCTTGTCATGCGGTACAGTCTAACTACCTCCGTGTCCTGCGGTACAGTCTAACACCGCCATTGTGCTCAGTTCTGCAACCCAGCCAGCTGTTGCGTCTCTGATTGATCTCGTGCTACCTCTGGCATCCGGGCTGTGTTTTTCCCGGATGTTTTCCGCCGACTATTTCATGGAAATCTTCTCTCTGAATGCCTCGTTGTGAATGACTCGCTTGCGTAACAATGCTTACGCTCAATTGAAATTTGGCAGGTATCTCGGGTACGTGTATTTTACCCATCAACAGTGTTAGGCTGCTAGCGGCAGTTTTTGAACGAAATCGATATGTCTTATTATATCTGAAGGCATGTATGAAGCACAATGAACCCACTGTAAAAAATTATATTAAGTGTTTTTGGCCACACAGTCATTTCTTTAGCAGCCGTGGCGCAAACTCAATAATCGTTCACGTTAGTGCAAATATTGCCCACACTGATCCTAATTCGTCAAGTTACAACATGAAATCAAGGGCGGCATCATGTCCGAACAACTCTGGTGGCTGTAATGGGAAAGAACTGCTTCTTTGGAATTTAAATACTTACCTTAATCTGATTTCGGCATGACGCATACACTGCTTTCATGCCTGAACAAATAGGTTCAATGTTGCATGCTTCTGAGAGGTATCAGCTAGTTGCAGAGCTAAACATGCAGTAAGTATATCGGTTTCGGAAGACGAATTGAGTGTTTGAAAGGTCATCAATAACCGGGCGCAGATCGTCCGATTTGCGCCGACGACGTGGGCCGAAAATAGAACTGCGAACGTAGCCGCTATTTGCTGTGTGAGGACGGCCAAACTGATGTTCACAAAATGACAGTGACCTTCTCCAGCGTAGTTCAGCTGGAGTGTTACGTGCATAGTCATCATAGCCTTGAGTAATTCGTAAAAAAGTGAATTAACAAGTTATTCGAGCACGCAGTCTTTCATTATTACATACACGAACATACGCCAATCATTTCAATTAACTAAAAATAGCAAAGCACATATAACCATGGCGCAGCAGAAGGTTCTAAATCAAACATTTGGAACACCTGGTCACCTGGAGTTGATGTTAAATCTAAATATAGTAGATCTGCACCACAGGTGGAAATATCCCTGCACTACATTGGAGAACCCTGGAAACCTGGATCGATTGTGTCACAGTCATCAAACCAATGCTCGGCAGGGGAAACTTTTAGGCATCAAATATCGAAGATCCAGCATTTTATCATATAAAGGTTGTTAGCCGACATATGGTTTATAAAACAAGCTTGAAAGGGTGGGGGCCGCAATCATCAATGAAATGACCGTATGCATGCCGTGCCGAACGCTACTACACATTGGACCTGCCACTACGATGTAAATTATGAGGAATATGACGTAAATGATTAAAAAAAAATCCGCGAATATCACACCATGCAGTTAATCTTCCACCAATGATGGCCAACATCAGCGGTAACAGTGTTTAACTTCATTTCCTCCGCAGTGTCTGGACAACGTGCAGTTCAACAACTGGTTTCGCAGCTCGGTATCCGACACGTCGTCGGTGACGATGCCGCACTCCATCCGGAACGACCCCAAGCTGTTCAGGGACGATATCGACATCCGCTTCTCCAAGACCCTCAACTCGTGCAAGGTGAGGGGTGCGCTGAGCCGACAGACGACTCCTCCCACACTGCTTCATGAGGTGCTTCATGATAGGATTTCTTCACACACTTTACCTTGAACTTCAAGCTAATTGAACTTCCTCATGATGCCTTAGATGAATCATTTACATCTAGCTCTTGATGATTAAGGCAACATTATTAAACACATACAAATGAGTGAAAGCCGCTACTCTACACAGCCCTAGGCACGCTACACTACTGCAGCTGTCCGTGTCTCTGACATGCCCCTCCCGTACCCCAGGTACCGCAGGTCAGGTACGCCACGCCGGAGCGGCTGTGGAGAGGCTGACCGACCTGCGCTTCCTCTCCATCGACTTCCTCAACACGTTCCTGCTGACGTACCGCGTCTTCACCGACGGTGTCACCGTGCTCAACGCCCTCAAGACCGTCTACTTCTCCGCAGAAAAAGTCGAATCGTGAGTTCACATGCTTATTCTTTGCTCTTTTTGCAACCCTTCTGACTCGCTTACTTTACAAGCTTAACCGCCGTTTGTAAAATATCGTGGACATTAGCCTGTAAATTGTAAAATTGGGCTTTTGAAAACCTCTTGTGAGTTCATTTAAATTTCACCAAAGCGACCTAGTTATTGTTAGAGACGTTTTTGCGAGCTTCTGAAAGCCGTTTGCTGCTTCTCGTTATGTCGCTTTGTTTTTCATGCCCTCCAGCCTGATATCCCCGTCTGTGCGCGGACTAATATAAGCATGCGCCAGGTCATGAAGGATAAAAAGGGACTAATGTTACAGATTCATTACGGAAACCAGTCCTGTGACCCCTGTGACGTGTGTCCGTTTCAGAGAAGACCCACGTCTCCACCGAGCGAGTCACGGCGCCGGGAGAGCTCGCTCAGCTCGACTCTGCGGATCGGTCACGGAGAGTCGTCCCGGCGCATCTCCACGGCCAGCACGGTGTCCTGTGAGTAGCGGTGTGAGCCGTATGCGCCCGCAAAATGCTGCACTTCGGGACTGTAGAATAGATCGGTAACTCAGAAGCGTGCACCTCGCAACAGAAGCCGAGGGCGTAAAACGCTCCCATCATGTCTCGATGTGAAAAGCTCAGAGAAATCCAATTTTCACCGTCAATGGACTATGCGCTCTAAAATTAGGACATTTGTTTGGGCAGTTCATCGCCTCCTTCCCCGCTCCCCTTGTTTGACCTGCAGCTGTAGCAGTGGTGCGCTGTAACAGAACGGTGTTGTCCCACCCATTCAGCGCCCCTGTCTCTCCAACTCATCCTGTTTGCTTAGCGCCGTGCCCGTGAGGTTCGCGCTATCGGTGTGGCTACTGTCTCGTGTTCAAACACCACCGACCCTCGTCCGTGGTGTGGGGGGTACTCGAGCGGCCCCAGGGAGCGGCCGTTACACCAGTCAGCGGCCCGGCCGTGTCATGGTGTGTCAAAAGTGGAAATAGCCGGTGCACCGTCTGGCAACCCGGCAGCCCGCCGCCATAGGAAAATTCATGCTTTTTGTCGCTTTTTCGCTCCCTATGAGTCACTTGATCTAATTAGAGCTTAACTAGGAACGAGGCGGGTCACTTGGACGTATTCGGGAGCCGAATACGGTGTTTTGGAGCCAATACCTGGGAACCCCTACCCGCCCAATGCGAGTTTTTAAGAGTCTGCATGCCCAAATTAACGTTGAGCGCGGCCGTTTTCGGTCGGTTTTCCCCGACCTTGTGGCGAAATCGCCTTATTTATTCAACCAGGGTGGGCTAATTCGCTTAACTAGGAATGAGGCGTTGAAGAGAATTATTCAAGGAATAGAGCTGTGCAAAAATATTTTTTGTATTGTTAAAACTGTATCCGCCCTCGAACGATAAATATTGTTGAACCATCAGAAACACATCACCTGGAATGCGTTTGGACTTGGCTGGATCTAATATTAGCGAGTATCTGCTAATGCAGTTTCTTGGCTTACATAGTACGCACACAAGCATACATACTTCCTGCCCATGGTTATTCCTCACTTGCATGAAAATTTTGCTATAATAACTATTCCAAGCAGTTAACAGGTTTTAGTGCAGTGCCAATTCGGAACCGTTCAGCGCCGCCAGCCTCCCAGGCGGCGCGTAACGGCTGCCGCCGGCCGCCGCGCCCGCGCCGCTCTTGCAGGGTGTTTGACTTCATATCTCTGTTGCTAGAAAAGTTGTGGACCGATTTACTTGATTCTTGCATGAAAAGATCCGCCATTCAATTCTTAGCAGATAACGACAATTTGACGTCAATTGCACGATCCGCTGCCCATATTGTGGTACTGCCATCTATTGACAAGGCTGGCGAACTAAAGCCGGGCGGCTATTTCCACTTTTGACACACCATGGTCGTGTATGTGAGGACGGGCGGCGACACACCGCACTCTGCACAAACCCATCGATCGTTAGCCGGGCGCACAGCCGGCCCTGAACAGAGCAGGTGTGGCCGACTGATGAGGACCTGGCGGCGCCGACACGGCGCGTGGCAGCCTATTCGAGTTTGTGACGTCGTAAATATTGTATGACGTCTGTGATACTTTTGACGGGATGCACTTCTCCCAGCATGCGACGAGATTGACGTGCGAGTACTATGATGAGCAGTGGATGGTCCAGCGAATTTGACGTCACTGCTTTTTACCTAATAATAAGCTGGTCTTTTGAGTCCTGATGACATCATTTGATGCTTTTTTCGTCAGGTGTATCGGCGTGCAGCGAAGGCAATGTGTTCGACTCACTGCTGCGTGGACAGCACTGGCGCTGGACCTATCGTCGCAGCACCTCGTCCTCCAGAACCAACGGTAAATGCCGTGCAGTGTCCCCTAGACACGGTCCCCCTGGATCTGCCGGAGCAATACATCGTCCTCCAAAACTAACGGTAATCTCCCCGACCCGAGACTGGGGACTAGGAACTGGAAACTGGGACTGGGGACTGATGACTGAAGACTGGAGACTGACTTAGAACTGGGACTAGGACTGGGGATTGGAGACAGTGGACTGCATTGAGCGGCCAGCCGCCGTAGAACGATAGTGAATCATATTTGTTTGTCATATTTGTCAGAACGATAGAACGATAGTCCACCGGTCGCCCTCTCACGCGGCGAGTCTGGGTGGTACTTATTATGCTCCCTGGTGTGTGGCGTCTCATCGATTCGACCCCCCCCTCTACACCGGGAGGGGGGGGGGCGCCGTAGGCTCACAGAGCGCCTAATGGAAGCGTACGGATTGAATAGCGGGCCCGCCTAAACACGCAGCGCAGAGTGCGCCGAAACGAGATTTGCGGTCGGACTGACGGGGGGATTACGGCACTCTCACGCATGCTGGTACTGAAGCTGGGTATGGATTCGGAGCTGATGCTGAAGAGAATGATAAATGTCGATGGCTGTATTCGATAGCAATGTCGATCTGCCGGACGGCTGACAGGCCCGCGGAAGCCCCGATATCTGTGATATACATAGCCCGGTGTCCTCCCATGGTCAGCAGAACGGTCCGGCTATCAGTGTGTGGCGCAGCGGCCGTGTGTGCACATTTTGGACCACCAACCGCCCCAGGATCGCGCCGCCTGTCGCTCATAAACCGCTGAGCCGCAATGTTACCACCAACTACCAGCATACCAGAGCGAGTTGTTCGGCAAACTTTGATTAAAAGAACTGTGCCCGGGTAAGTATTGACCCAGAGGGGCGTTCCGATAGTATACCGCGACTGATCGGATCCTCCTCTGCTCTACCTCGTCCCTCGGCTCTCCCGTACTCTCCACGGTAGATAGGATTCTAACTCACCAGCTATAACCAGCTCAGCCGGCCCGTCCCGCTACCGGCGACATTTACCTGCTGGGTGATCTACCCAGAAGGTACTGGATTATGATATCCCCTGACGGCTGCAGGTTGCATCAAACCCACTCATTTCATGCCGTTCCCGGCAGCAGGTATACCTTTCCTAGTCTTTCCGTCCCTCTGCCGGCAGCAGCCAGTACAATGCCCGACACATCCCCTCTCTACCCTCCCGCCGGCAGTGGACGAGGAAGCCCGCGGCGCCGTGGAGGCGGCCGTCAGCTCCGCCACCTCCTCGCTGGCCGTCGGCGGCCTCCAGCAGATCAAGGAGCAGCCGTCGCCCTCCGGCAGCGACTGCAGCAGCCAGAGCCACTTTGTCGAGCTGCGCGACCGAGACCAGGAGGGCGGCCAGTTCCTGAGCGTGCCGAGCGCGCAGGCGGCCGGCACCGGCGCCGGCAGCGACTCCAGCACCGACACTCTCGTCGGTGAGCGGAACGGGAGATGGGGGAGAGGATAGGAGGGGACAGTTGATGTAAACTGATTAGAAATGTCCATCGTCTCATTCCGCTAGTGTAGGCAAGCAAAGCTGTCGTTCTGGGAGTCCAGCGATAGTGATACCTTTTGTCAAACCTCATGCTGTGACTGTGCGCCTCAACATTCATGGTTTATTCAGCGTACTTGCCTGCTTTTTCCACAGTGCCTTCTGTACTCTTCAGTGACTTTCTTTCCCGTTCTATCAACTATTCTGCCTCGGCATGCCTCCTTTATTTCCTTCAGTCGCGTGCCTCCTCACCTCTTCCCTGCCCGGAGAGTGGATAGGTCATCACGGCGGAAAACCTACCAAACAAACGACTTGTCTGCACCTGGGGCCCGGGTCGCTGGGTTTACGACAGGCCACGTATCACGCGACCGCTCCGCTCGGCCGGTCACGGGTCACAACAGTCACGGGCCGGGCCGGTTACCGCCGGCGGAACGGGGCTTTGTGTTACGAGCGCATCGTACTTCCTCCACGGTTCCGGGGCATGGTGTGTGGACTTGGAGCACGGGGGTCGGGGGTGCGATGACACGGGGTCGTTTGAGTGCGCGGGCTGCTTTAGAGTCATGGTAATGTGACACGCCGTACTTTCTTTTGAACCGAAATCGATGTTATCACATTTTTTTTTTTCGAAATTCCGAGGACGGAATTTTTCCAAGGTTGTTTCTACTGTGACACGCCGTACTTTCTTTCGAACCGAGTTTCATGTAACACGCTGCCCTATCTCCGAGCCGTGTGGGCCGATCGATTCCAATCGATGCGCTTCGCTGCTCCGTATAAAAGCAGCGACGACACGAGCGCGCTTACACTCTGTCTCTCAGTCGGACACTCGTCACTGGACTCTACTGGTGGCGGTACACCGCGTGGGTCGCCGGACCATTCGGTCCGGGACATTCGTCCCGGACGTCAAGACACTACGCATTCGTTCACTCACGCTGGAGGACTGTCAGTCATTCGCGGTGTGTGATCGTTCGATGTGAGAATCGCCGTCGATACCGGGCTGACTGGTCGGCTTCTTGACCCCCCTGCGACCGACAACTATCATGTAAGT